ATCACCGACATAAAACATAAAATTATCTGCTTGATATTATCTAAAAATAAATACATTGTGGTAAATTCAAGTTTGTAGGGTTTTTTTTGTATTTATCAGAAAAATTTGATTGATTCATTTTTTTTTTTTTTTTTTTTACAGCTTGTCAAGCCTTTATGGATTTATTTGAGGCTGAAACATATTTTAGATTGGAGAGAATAATTTTTTTTTTCTAATTTTTCCTTGTAATTAGATATTGCAGTAACAATCTTTAGAGAAATGACAATGATTTTTCCACAATCGGGTAATACTATTTAACCCATAGATGGGGAGAGGAGATGGATTTCATAACTTTCTCAAGGGTATTCACATAACGTTCATTGAACCTGACTGGAATTCAAAGATGACTTTCTGATTTCTCATTCTTAACTGCTATCCATTACACCACCCGCACATCCATAGAATATGATGAAATAATACATTATTAAAGATATGTTTACACACCCTTTATCGCTGATATTAAGAAATTTTACCCATAAATACAGTATTCCTGAAAACTATATTTTATCATTATACATATATATATATATATATATATATATATATATATATATATATATATATATGTATGTATATATAAATTTCTCAGAGTTAACCTGTAGAAAAAGACAATATGTATAAAGGTAAAAGACACTAGGAAACCTGTATTATTAGCCGATGTGTTTTGTCCAATGTGGACTTTTTCAAGGCAAAAGTGAAAGAAATTTATTGAAAACAAAGTAACTATTAACAACAAACAAAATGTCCTTAGCAAATTGTCAACACAACAATAAAAACACAATTTCCCCACATGAAAGTACTTGGCATAATTTTCAGTTGACAATACAATAGTGTTTTCTAAATTCTTCTAGTTGCTGAGAACATTTTGTTTGTTCTTAATAGTTACTTTGTTTTCAATAAATATATATTAGAATTAATGCAAGTAAAATGTTTATCACTTAGCTGATTGATGTTACCTTCAGCATTCAAACTCTCAAGACGAACACTCCAGGAATCACTTTGTCCGCTCATCAGGGGATATGAACAGAACAAGAATGGAGCTAATGTGGCACAATCCTTACTTATACACTTACCAACACTTATTCCACGGATGAAACATCACCAGGTTTTTGCTACTATGTTGCTATTACTATGACAGATGATTGGCCGAGTTACATTCCCACCAGCTAAGACCTTCACATTTATGACCCACCAGGTCAGGTTCACAGTAGAAAACCTTCCCCATTTCCTTCATGTTCCTTTGATGAAACACAAGTTGCACTCAAACATGGTTCGTTGGTTGGGTTTTATGGCATATCAACCACTGTAGGTCATTTAATACCAAATTAAGTTATATATATATATATATATATTAAATATACAGTACAATTAAACATATAGCTGGCAACATTATTTTTTTTCTTAAAAAAAAACGTATAGCTGGCAACATTATTTTCTTTCCAAAAAAAACGTATAGCTGGCCACATTATTCTTTTGAAAACACTATCTGAGGCCTTTCTTGCTGTTGGACGTAGTTTATTGTCATACCCAGGACGTGGGTAAGATCTGGAAAAACTAGGTGTTCACTATTTGCCTATAGCTGGGACCCTGACAGGTGCTACCACCCTGGGTCAGGGTGGACCTGGGAACACCAGCAATTAAGAGGTGGTTCCATGCTCCTAAAAACCTCCTGATCAGAGGCCTTGCTGTTGGATGCAGTTTAACGTCATACCCAGGACGTTGCACTCAAACAGCTTCTTCCCAAGAATTATTACAAAAAACAAACGATAAAAAGAATACTTCCCTGACAATTACTAATTTTGGGTCAACCAATATATTTCCTACTTGGCTTCATAATAATCTCTTATGTCATCCTTCCTCCTCCCTTGCAATCTCACTCAGTAACTCTCTACCTTGTGTGGCCCTTGGGCCTTGTATTGGGTGAACTATCAGTAAAAAAAAAAAAAAAAATCCTTTTACTTGCACAGGTCATTCAACTTTTGCCTCACCTGTTTGGAATCTCGGGTTTCTCGGATTTTTTTCAGCCTGGCATTTTGGGACTCTCGCACTTTTGTGTTGTCGATCGCCAAAACATCAACCAGTTCTTCTTCTTGCAGCCGATACTTGTTCACCCCAACAATCACCTCTGAACATATAAAGACGAACAATAGTGAGATAACAATGAAATAAAAAAAGTAATAGATTCAAAATAAAATCAAAAATAAAATTTGAAAAAATAAAATCCGAAAAATGAAATAAAAATTTAAATTAAAAAAAAAATATAATACCCAAAAATAAAAATAACAAAATCCAAAAACAAGAAGAAAAAAATAATGACAAAATCAAGAAAAAAAATTAAAAAACAAAAATAAACTAAAAAAAAAAAGAAAAAAGAATAAAATCCCCACCTTCCCCACACAAAAAAAAAAACAAAATTGCAAGATAATAAAATCAGGAAAAATGAAAACTAATTAAAAATCAAAAATTTCTTCAAGAAGCGGATTCTATATTGAAATCAAATTGAAAATCTCTTCAAGACAACAGGACATGGTTAAAATGTCATAGGAACAAGCGGATTCTGTATTGAAATCAAATCGAAAATCTCTTCAAGACAACAGGACATGGTTAAAATGTCATAGGAACAAGCGGATTCTGTATTGAAATCAAATCGAAAATCTCTTCAAGACAACAGGACATGGTTAAAATGTAATAGGAAAAACCCAATTCTGTTTGAAATCATGTCGAAAATCTCTTCAAGACAACAGGACATGGTTAAAATGTCATAGGAACAAGCGGATTCTGTATTGAAATCAAATCGAAAATCTCTTCAAGACAACAGGACATGGTTAAAATGTCATATTCTAGAAACGGATTCTATATTGAAATCAAATTTGAAAAAATTTCTTCAAGAAAACAGGACATGGTTAAAATGTCATAGGAACAAGCGGATTCTGTATTGAAATCAAATCGAAAATCTCTTCAAGACAACAGGACATGGTTAAAATGTCATAGGAGCAAATGAAATCTATTTTGAAATCAAATTAAAAGTGTCCTAGACTTTCCCCTCTAAAAATCGATAAAAATTACATTATTCTTTGTGTATGAGAGTGCCACAATGAGCCTGTGATAGTGTATCAGCAGGTATATTATCCATCCCTAGACTCATTTCATTATCATACTCCCCAGTTTCATTCTCCATCTCTGGATCTAATTGTTTTTAATTTTTCCAGGTCTCTTAGTATTAAACATGAAAGTCACTGCCTGTTGGTTCGTAATGATGGTAAAGTGTCGATCAGATATGTAGTCAGACTACCTTTTTACAGCTTCTATAATAGCTGAAGCTTCCTTTTCTACTTAAATAGTACTTTTGTTCAGTCGACTTTAGTGATCATGAGAAGACAGTCAGCCTGATCCAAAGCAGCAGCAATTCCCGTATCAGAAGCGTCTGTCTCGACTACCAGTAGGAAATTTTCTTCAGTAATGTGGAGAAAGACACTTTCGATTTCTTCTTTAAGTTTTTAAGAATGCTTCCATGGACTCAAAGGGAAACGAGTCAGCCATAATTAAAGATTGGATCTTATTTGAAAACTTAGATATTCATTGGGAATAATAAAAAAAAAAAAAAAAAAAAAAACGAGGAGCCTGCAAAGGGCAGCTTTATCTTTAAGGATAGGTAATTCTTTAAGTGGGCGTAATCAGTCTCCATTAGTTTTAAGTATACCGTGAGATATGGTGTAGTTAAGAAAATTAATAGAAGTGGTTGGTAAGGAGTTTGGTTTGGTTTATTTTGTTTTATGGCATATCAACCTCAATGGGTTATTTAATGCCAACATCATTTTCAGGATGGATTCGTATGAATAGAGTATGATTTCTTTGCTTTAGATTGGTTTGGTTTATTTTGTTTTACAGCATATCAACCTCAATGGGTTATTTAATGCTGACAACATTTTTAGGATAGATTTGTTATGAATAGAATATGTATTTTTTTGAAAAAGATTGGTTTGGTTTATTTTGTTTTACGGCATATCAACCTCAATAGGTTATTTAATGCCGACAACATTTTTTATTGCTGGTAATATTTTGTTTTGTCAAAAATCTGTTTCTGGTAATATTTTTCCTTCACAATTGTATTGCTGGTAATAATTTTTTTTCAAAAAAGCATTGCTGGTAATTGTTAACTATTTGCCCATAGCTGGGACCCTAAGAGGTGCTACCACCTCGGGTCAGGCTAGACCTGGGAACACTAGCAATTAAGAGGTGTTTCCACGTGCCTCAAACCCTCCTGATCAGAGGTTTTGCTGTTGGATGTAGTTTATCGTCATACCCAGGATGGCATTATGTATTGGAAGCAAGATACTCTGTTAGTGACCCCAAATAGAATATGACAAAACTGATATAATTTACCATTAGCTTCAAACACAGCATATGGTTTGTCTTCTCCTTGAATGGGTACTTGGTGATATGCACTCTTTAAATCCAAAAAAGAATAAATTTTATATTTAGAGATCATCCATTCGTGGTAAGGGGGTAAGTTTCAGTTGAGTGAATCTATTAATAGTTTTACTATAATCCACAACTAATCTCTTTTTATGCTGTTCATTATCAAAATTTGAGCTTGCCAAGGAGATGTGCTTTCCTCAATTATTCCATTGTATTGTTCACACTGACCATTCCCTTGGGGGTTGTAAGGGATTGTTCGACCAGTAGCTAGCTATACCCAGTTTAGATAGAGGTGATATTTGGGCCTTTACTGTCCTTCTTTTGCTACCCATTTACACAAGGTCATTATAAAAAAAAAAAAAAAAAACACACACAAAGAACAGAAAGAATGTTATTTAAATTGTTTGGACTGTTTTCCTTGTCCTCTGTTGCATGCACCGGCCGCCTTCAAGTGATTGGAATTTCAAACTGAACTCTTTATTTTGTCCACTGGGATAGACTGTTCTAGTTCCATGTGCCACACCTCTTCTGGATATCTCAGTATCAACTCTCCAAGGTTTTGTTCACCTCTGCCGTGGCCAAGTATTGAACTCACAACTCTTTAGGTCAAGTCACTGGCCATGTGCCCTAGGGGATTAAAAGGAATGGTTCAAATTCCAATGTATATCACCTGAAGAAATGTCGTGAATATGACAATAAAGATGAGGACGACAGTCTGAACAATGTAAATAGTGTAAATAGTTACAATCCTTCATCTCAGAAATATAGACTGATCCTGAAGAAAAACAGAGCGTACAATGACTGAAAATTGTGAATCTTACTTATTATAAAATGCAGATTGTGTGTGTGTGTGTATGTGTCTGTACGTTTATATATTGGATCGGATTTCCTACATTTTTCAACCGATTTCAACAAAACTTCACAGGACTACATAAAATTACCTTGCAGTGGTTCTGACAGTGCCCAAAATTGGAAAAACACAATTGTTTTTGCACGAAATCAATTTGAAAACACAATAAAACACGATTCTGTCGCGAGAATGAAAGGGGGACAACTCATATCGAGTTATACTTAAATTATAAAACCCAGGTTGTGTGTGTGTGTGTGTGTTCATTTTATATATGGATCGGATTTCCTACATTTTTCAACCGATTTCAACAAAACTTCACTTTTTTTTTGGCAGGTAGTGTTTCTTATTGTCTTGCACACACTTTTTTTTTTTTATTTTTACATTCAGAATGCTTTAAAAATTCCATTTACAAGACAATTGTTTATAATAAAATTCTATTCAATCGGTAGACTCATAATGATTGAAAACAATGTTTTTTTTTTTTGAGTTTGACCAATTTAAAAAAAAAAAAAAAAAAAAAAAAAAAAACTAATTAAGACATGCGTGTCCATCAACCTTAAACAATAATCTTTGTCAATTTTATTTTTCAGTCTTTATGATGGTCGATACTTGATCTATCTCTTACTGTTACATCCCTGGGCAATGCCGGGTTCTCCTGCTAGTATGTCAATAAAGATGAAGACAACAGAATGAATAGAGTAAATAGTTACAATACCACATCTCAGAAATATGGACGTAGAAATAATCTTAAATACACCAATTAACCAATTAATCCTCTTGATTATCATATTCAGAAAATTTATCTTTAACGCAAAAAGGGTCTTTCCTGCTGTAAAATTAGCAGATCTGTTTCTTCATATTTACAGTTGGTCACGTTCTGTAAAAAGCTGAAATAAGAATAAATTTTCATCAAATGAAGAGTTACTTCCCTTGACTGCGCCATTTTATAAAATAAAAGTTACTTCCCTTGACGTCTACATATTTATAATCCATACTGAGTTATTTAAAATGAATTCTAAATTTTTTTTAAAAAGAAATTTTTTTTTTTTTTTATCGAAGATTTTCAAACGAAAAACAGAAATTTTCACTAAGACACAATGGGTTACTGGGTGGGAGAGAATTAGAAAGCAGAAACATTACTAAGGAGCGAGAACAATAGTAAGACTAATGAAGAAGAAAAACGATAACGATTGCGCATTTAAATTTTTGAAGACCAAACTTAATTACAAACATGGAGTCAGAAAGGAGTTCTACAGGTGAGAAGCATGAAAAAAAGAAACTATTAACGTGGAACTTATGGTTAAATCAACTGTAAACTGATGTAACATTACCGGTGATCTAGTACTGTACTTAAATTCATAAAGTCTAAGTACCATAGTGAAGAGCTCATTTAAACAATTACTATGAAAGTATTTATAGAAAAGGCACAGGGAAGCAACTTTATGTTGGTGGGAAGGTGACTGAAGTTGAGATGCCAGGTCAACACCAATAAGATTGCAGATTCTTTGGATTTTATCAAGAATCTCTAAATATACCGGGTGTAACTGCAAAATTGTCCAATTATTAGATAAAGCTTTGAACCATTGTATCTTAGAAATTTAAGCAATCTGGGATTTCAAAAGGAAATATTTGTTGCAGATTACTTATCCACAATCAAAGAATAAATTTTTACGTTCAGACTGAACATCGGGGACAGAAAGAAATGCCGAAAAATCGATTTGAAGATACTATCTCAAAAAACCCAACCAGTCAGATAAATAAATCACTTCTAACAAACGCAGTAGCCAAAATACCCTTAATTAATTTTTTCCGATTATGAATTGAAAATTATGCTTTTATCAACAGCATTGGGAGAGGACGCTAAAATTTTTACATATCAAACTACCTTTATCAAATTAAACTCCATGCGATGGATATTGTTTTTTTTTTAATTTAAATATTGTCTTCAGCATGTCATGCAGAATATTTACCCTTTTTTTTAGGTAAGTAATTTTGGTTTTTTTTTTTTACATTTTCCATATGTTTAAATATGAATACCTTTGTCGCTTGGTTTAACAAAGTAAGTCGCTGTTTTTTTTCTATAAGAAATGATTAAAAATATCTTAAAAAATTTTCCAAGGCTTTTATAACACTATTAGACTCTTTAATTTTTAAATATAATTTTTATAAAAACATATTTCTGGTATTAAAAATTATTTTTTTACACTTTAAAAATGTTTTATATATTTTTTGGGTGTTAACTATTTGCTCAGGTTGGATAATAATTAACAGGGCACCTATAAACCCCGGGTCAAAGTGGACCAGGGAACACCAGCAATTAAGAAGGTAAATCCCAGATTTCTCAAAACCTCCTGATAAAAAAAGGCATTTGTTGTTGGATGTAGTTTATTGTTATACCCAGGACAGTGCAAATTTTGCTAGTGGGGATATTCTGCTACCATCACTATCAGTACTAAGGGAATGCAAGTTATTCATCATCCAATAGTCAAACAAGATTTAAAAATTATTATTATTTAAAAAAAAAAATTTAAAATTCATGGATATCTTTTTAAATGTAATCCATTTTTTAAAATACTGAAATATCTTGTCAAACAATTTTTGACTCCTGCTCTAATTTAACTTCAAGATCAAGATCAGCCTGAGATAATTAAATTTAAAAACAATAATGGGCAGGAGCTGCCCAGTCTTCACTCTCTTTCAAAAAAGTTTGTATTTGCATCTTTTTTCCACTTTACATTCAATCTTTTCTCACAGACAAGATGCCAAAAAGCCTTTATTTAATGCATATAGCTATTTATATGGAATGTTCAGATGAACTATAATTCCTTAGTTCTACCAATTTTAAATTTCACAGCTAAGACCCACCATGCCATGCAAATATGTACAAAAACAAAAAAAATAATCTTTCCTTTTGTATTCCATATATATGAAATATAAATTCCATATAAATAGGTTCTATAAAAAACGAAATTATGAAAAACATTATTGGAATATATTTGACCAAGAGTCTGCTTCTCTGATTTTCAATCAATGTATCAAGGAAAACGGTTAATTGTTAGTCTTAACAAACATATCTGCATCAAATGTCCCTATTCATTGTAATATCTTGTTAAACCTTGATGCATAAAAAAAAAAAAATTAATGACAAACAAATAACATGCCAAGCATAAGACTATCCTTACCAGATCCACTATCAATTCTGGCTTGTCTTCGGGCTGCACATTCTTCAATTTTCAGTTTCGGCATGCCTGATGCCACCGCTTTGGCCATTCCCCCAAGTTCTTCAACCTACAAGAAAACATTCCAACATTATTCAACTTGTTGTAAGAAATTTAAAGACTGTATTGTTTATTTTAACTGGTATAACCAGTTATACCCCCCCTTCTCAATTTAATGTCAACAATTGAGAACAAATAGTTATTAGTTAAAAAAATTAGTAATTAATGTATAATATTATCCATAATTACATGTAAAAGAACGTCATCTTTGATAAAAGTTAAAAAGTAACCATAAATACGTAAAAAATGCGTATACTGTCAAAAATTTCTTTTTCCACAATATAGCTATTTGTGCTATGTTATAATGCTTATTACCTAAACAATAATAATATTGAATAATTTTTTTTAAGCATTAAAGTATATTTAATCACATCTTCTTAATAGCTGTCGCGATATGTTAAGAAAGAATATAGTTTTAAAATATTTAGATCGTAAGTTAATATTTTAATAAATAAGATTATATTTTTTAAAAAAAGAAAAACAAATACTTATAATTTGTTTTGATTTTGGAATTTACTTAAATTGATTCTTAAAATCAAAATATCAGCAACGGAGAAATATTTTGCAAAAAGTTAATATAATCAAAACTAGATAAATAGTTTAGTAAACTTAAAAAAATGGTTCTTTTGTATAATATTTAAATACGGATATAAAAGTATTTCTAGAAAAAACAAGAATCATACTTTTGATAGAATATACAAATTTTATATGAATTGGAAAATAAAAAAAACTATTTTGATTTAACATTAAAAAAAAAGAACTCAAGAGATGATAAAAAATTTCAAACGTCCCACTAAATTTTGTATATTTTTTACATTTAACATTTAATTTTTTATTTCCAAGAGTTAAAAAAATTCACAAAAATCATTATTTCTCATGTGAATTTTTAAATAACAATATTAAATAATATACAATCTAAATAGAAAAGTATAACAAAATATCAAACTTTATTTTTCAATAATATACATTATACAGTAATTTTTTTCAGTGTGAAGCAACATTTAAAATGTCATAAATTTTGTAATTTCTCATTTAGTCAGTCATGCCCCATGCGTAAAACACGCTTAGGCAATCATGTATCTTCGGATACATGACTGACGAGGCAGATTTTTTTTCCTGCAGTAGGTTGCCATTTCTTTCTGCAGTAGACCAGTTGCCATCCAAGGCTATAGAACCCGGTCTGGGGAGAGAAAGAGGATTCATAACTTTCCCAAGGGTATTAGCATGAAAGTGAATGTAATGTATATATATAAAAATTATATATATATATATATATATACTTGAAGTTTATTTCAAGGCTTCATTAGCTTCCGATCCTTAGCTATGATTAATTAATGATGAATATGCCATTTCCGTTTATGATCGATTTCATCTCGATTCTTTGTTAATCTTGGAAGTAATTATACATTCTTATTGCTCAAAGTAAAAAATTTTAATAAAAAAAAAAAAAAAAAAAAAAAAAAAAAAAAAAAAAAAAAAAAAAAAAAAAAAACATTGGAAAATTCCAGTAAGATATCTTTAATCATTTCTAAGATACAACGGTCCAAAGCTTAATCTAACAATTGGACAATTTTACTGTTACATGATTTTAGACAATTTAAATGTTATAACCCGGTATGTGCAAAACATTATTGCCATATTAAATATTTAATTAGAATAAAAAATAATACAAACATATAGTGCCCAGTGATAATGAGATATGGTGATTTTCAAAGAAATCTTATTTAATTTTTAGATTTGGCACAAGGCCGTAAAAAATTAGCAATCTGTAATGAATGAACCCACTATTTATGCATTTTTTTGATTTAAAATTCTTCAATAGAAGACACAAACATAGAAATCATCACATTTTCTATAGCTTTTTATTTAAATACACTTAGGCAATCATGGATCTCCCGATACATGGCTGACGTGGTAGATTTGTTTCCTGCAGTAGGTTGCCATTTCTTTCTGCAGTAGACCAGTTGCCATCCAAGGCTATAGAACCCAGTCTGTCTTGCTGGGGAGAGAAAGAGGATTCATACCTTTCCCAACGGTATTAGCACATAAGTGAATGTAATGGATATATAAAAAAAATTAAATATATATATATATATATATATATATATATATATATATATATATATTAGTTCACTACAACTATCACCCTCCGTGTTAAAAACAAAAATTACAACCCATCAATTTCTAATCCCATTTTTTTTTTTCATTTCGTTGTTGGAATTGTTACCTGATGATCTGGAGTTCTTTAAAAAGGATTTTGGTGAAATAAATTATTGTACAACTCCTTGGAATTACCATTAATACTTTTATTAAAGTTCTTCTAACTTAATTTTATATATATATATATATATATATATATATATATATATATATATATATATATATATATATATATATACACACACATTTAGTAATATGAGCAATATTTTCCTATTTTTAAACATTTGGCATTCATTGACTGAATACCTACTACATTTTGGGGGTTGAAATTTAAGTTTTTCTCTTAAAACAATTTATCAGGAAAATAGCTTTCTCAAGTCCAGTAACGGTTATTGCTCTTTCCAGTATTGATGGCAGTTTCCTTCCTACCCTTTTGTTTGAAGTAGTATGGAATGTCAACATCTTGATTATGTCATTAATTACTCTTCGAGTTACTTATGCTATACGTGGCCCTTTAAAAAGGGAAGCATTAATTTTGCATATTATTTCTTGACAGTAGGGTGCCACTATGTTGTCACTTCACAGAATTAAGTTTTTTAAAACAGAATTATGATTTTCCCCACATCAATTCTTAATCATCCTGGGCATGACACTAAACTATATCTGGCAACATCTGAGAGATTGGAGGTTTTGAGAAGTCAACAAAAAATCTCTTAATTAAACTATTTGTTCCCACAAAAAAAATTGATCCTGGGTGAAAGCACCCATTGGAATTCCCAAAAACAAAACAACAGTACATCTTTATAGTAAAATTACCAACAATATATTTTATGATCTATAAACTATATATCTAAAATACATACCTTTGCCCTGGAAGCATAAAATTATGTGCAAAATATCTTGTAGTTGCCAATTTCAAATCTTTTCATATTTAGGATTGTTATTGCAATATTCTGTTAAAGTTATTCAACTCAAATATTTAACAATGTGATAAAGAAATTTCTATGAATATTTTATTGTCATAGAACTCGCCATGAGCTTATTCAATCATTAACTTAAGAATTAAGATACATCAGAAAATTCAAATAGGAAAACTATGAAATTTTAAAAGGTATTTTTAGTTAATAAATAACAAACTATCTTGCTGTACAAAATGCTTACATGCCATATATCTTAATTATCTCTTGGGGGAGATAAATAACTTAAAGGCGTCCTGGGTATGATGATAAACTGCATCCCGCAGTAAGGCCCCTGATTGGGAGATAGGAGGTTTTTAGGAGCTTGGAACCACCTCTTAATTGCTGTTGTTTCCAGATCCACTCTGATCCAAGGTATTATCATCCGTTAGAGTCCCAGCTATCAGCAAATAGGGACCCACCCCCACAACAAAAATCAACAGTACATTTTTATAACAAAATGACCAACAATGCACTTTTTATAGCAAAATGACAATTAATTTAGCACAAAAAATATAAAAATAGATTTTTATTGTAAAATTACAAACAACATATTTTATGATCTACAAACTATATATCTAAAATACATACCTTTGCCCTGAAAGCATGAAAAAATAAAAATACATACAAAATATTTAGATTTCAGCATTAAATAACCCATAGAGGTGTTGATATGCCACCAAACAAAATCAACCAACCAACCAAACAATGAGCATGAAAGAACTATTTCATGACATTAGTCTATATCATTTCTTACAGTTTGGGCACCTTGAAGCAGTGTAATGGTTAGCAAGCTTGTCTTGCTAGAACAATTACAACTGATATACACCTGAGAAGGCACAATGGCCAGCCGAAACATTGTGTTATGTACAAAATATCTGTAGATGAAAAAATAAAGATACATACAAAATGTTTTAGATATCAGCATTAAATAACCCACAGAGGTGTTGATATGCCACTTAACAAAATCAACCAAACAAAAAGGAGCATGAAAGAACACTTTCATGATATTAGTCCATATGATATCCTAGAGTTTGGGCACCTCGATGTGGTGTAATGGTTAGCAAGCTTGTCTCACTAGAACAATTACGACTGAATAGTGAGTTCGATCCTCACTGGGTGCCCCTACTTTCAGCCTTGTGCCACATTTAAGCTACGCTTGGAAAAATCACTATAATATCCTACAGTTTCTTAAAGAAATCAAACTATATTCCAAGATATAATTTCCACAACACTACAACATTAAACACATATATCACTGCCTGTAGTAATTATGTTCACACAAACATGTATATGCATAAAAGCAGAGTATCATCTACCATGTATTCAATTGTGAAAGCAGAATAACATATATTGTATTTTTATTACTTCAAAGCTTCCAAGAAAATTAAATTTTGACGTTAAATGACCCATAAGGAGTTGATATGCTGTTAAACATACAAATTAATCACTTCTTGACAATGGAGTGCTGCAAGATTTTCACTTCACGGAATGAGATTCTTTGAAAAACACAGTTGCCTTGTTTACTGCATTGTTCTAATTAGTCATATTAACATGTGGCCAGAATATAAAAAAAAACAAGGTAATGCTGAATAAAATAAACTATGAAAGCAAAAATATTTACCTCTTCAATCACTTTCAATGCAGCATCGTATATATCATTTGTTAGGTTCTCCATCATATAGGAACCGCCCCAGGGATCAGCAACCTGGAAAATAAATGGCCAAAGAAATATTTTACACAGGTTGCGGTAAGAAGGCAAAGTGTAGAGTCAGATGTCTGTTTGTGGTTTGTGAATATGGTTGCATAGTGAATCAGAGTTCAATTCCTGGGTCAGGCAGTGTATACTTGCACTCATTGGAAAATGGGTGAGAAATAACTAAACATTAGTAAAAAAAAAAAAAAAAAAAAAAAACTAGACGAGATATCCCTAGACGTGAGCAGTGAAATGAGAACAGGCCCACCCCGTAGATTAAATAAAGGGTTCAGTTCAGGGTTGTCCAGATTGATATGCACCTGACAAGGCACGGCGGCCAGCCAAAACATTGTGATTACAACGATAAAGATGAGGACAATCGTCTGAATATAAATATTGTAAATAATAACTCCTCTCAGAAATTCAGACATTCATTCATTTTCATATTAGTACATATACATGAATTATCTTTTATCGGTGTGTTTTTTTTTTTTGATATTTGTGATGGACTCCAAATTCTGTAAAAAACAAGAAAAAATAAAATATCTAGCCATAAAGACATTGATAAAGGCTATAAACAAAAAAGAAGTGGTAGATAGATTTTTTTACAGGTTATCAAAAAACAGAAAATTTTTTGGAAATGATAATGATTTTCTGATACAATTCCTACTATTTAACCCATAGCTGGAGGGAATAGATGGATTCATACCTTTCTCAATAGTATTTTGCATAAAAGTAAATATAACGAACCTGACCAGAAAGGGAACTCGTTTCTGATTTCCAATTCTGATCCATTACACCATCCAAGCTTACAGTGCTTGATTTTCCCAAACAGTCACCCATCTAGGTACTGACAATGCTCGACATTGCTTAACTTCAGTGATTGTATGGGAATTGACATTTCAACATGATATGGAAATCTGTCTATATTTCTGAGATGAGGTATTGTAACTATTTACTTTGGACTGTTGACAACATTTCGGCTGTTGCACGCTCTGGCCTTCTTCAGGTAATATTTGGAATTTTGAACCGAACCCTTTACTTAAAAAGAAATCAACAAGCAAAAATTCTTCTCTTAGATAGGTTTTCGTACACAAAGAATCTGTAATAAGTCACAATATTACGGCAAATAAGACCAACCTTGGGAATACCTGACTCCTCTTGGAGGATGATTTGGGTATTTCTGGCAATGCGGGCACTGAATGGTGTTGGTAAGCCCAAGGCTTCATCAAAAGAATTTGTGTGTAAAGACTGTGTTCCCCCAAACACAGCCGCCATTGCTTCTATTGCTGTTCGAATGATGTTGTTATGGGGGTCCTAAAAATTTAACAAAAAAAAAAAAAAAGAAATCAATCCTTCATATTTTTGAATGATTTTATAAAATGTTTTTATCAACATAATAAAAATTTTAAAGCAAGTTTCCTTTCATATATGGTAATATTAGCCATTTTCCTACAAGAAAAAATTTGGCATTTATTGACGGACCAGCCGATACTGTTTTCGGTCGAATGTGATAAAACCCTTAAAACAATTTTTCAGGAAAATAGGTTTCTCAAGTCCAGTAGCTGTTATTGCTCTTTCCAGTAGTGATGGGAGTTTCCTTTCTAACCTTTTGTTTGAAGTGGTGTGGAATGTTAACATCTTGATTACAGTATTTTGCTGCTTATAAGATCCATTTTTTTTCCCTATAAAATATCTCCCAAAACCACCCTGCTTCCTGTAAATTTCCTATAAACTGAAGATTGGTGATGGGAATTATAGGTTTGGGGTGACTGCCAGATCCCCATTCACATTCCTGTATCTAATTTAAAATTAGCACGTCATCCTGGCCCGTGATGAATTTAACCGGTTTAGTCAGGTTTTCTTGCTGGAATCGGCTATTCAGTGGATAAAGTTGGGAATTGTAGGTAAGAATATCTAAATTGTGGGTGGGGCGTCTAATACATCAGAGTGGGACGTCTAATACATTAGAGTGTCTTATAAGCAATGAAATTCAGTATGTCATCATTTTTTGAGTTACATGTGCTATCCATTTTAACTGTTGCTGCTGTTGGTAGTCCTCAAATGATATAGTTTCTATTAACTGGCACAGTTATATAAGAATTAGGTCAAGTATGAATTAGAATCTGACAGAATCATACTTATTATATGTGTGTAATGTGTGTGTGTGTGTGTGTGTGTACATTTATATATTGGATGGATTTCCTACATTTTTCAACCGATTTCAACAAAACTTCACAGGACTACGAAAATTACCTTGCAGTGGTTCTGACAGCATAAAAATTGGAAAAACAATTGTTTTTGCATGAAATCAATTTGAAAACATGATTAAGAGGCATCGCTGTCATTTAAGAATGAAAGGGAGACAACTCATATTGAGTTATACTTTGAAATTATTAAAAACCCAGGTTGTTTGTGTGTGTGTTCATTTATTTATATGGGATCGGATTTTCTACATTTTTCAACCGATTTCAACAAAACTTTTTTTTTTTTTTTTTTGGCAGGTAGTGTTTCTTATTGTCTTGCACACTTTTTTTTTTTTATTTTTACATTCAGAATGCTTTAAAAATTCCATTTACAAGACAATTGTTTATAATAAAATTCTATTCAATCAATAGACTCATAACGATTGAAAAAACAATTTTTTGTTTGTGTTTGACCAATTCGTAAAAAAAATAAAAAAATAATTAAGACATGCGTGTCCGTCAACCTTAAACAATAATCTTTGTCAATTTTATTTTTCAGTCTTTATGATGGTTGATACTTGATCTATCTCTCACTGTTACATACCCGGGCAACGCCAGGCTCTACTGCTAGTGATAGAATAAAGAACAAATAGGAAACGTTTATAAATTCTACATGTTTCACTTTTTAACCTTTATCAGAAAATAAAATATGGAAGAGAAAAGACAATTCAGGTGTTTTTTTATTTTTGTGCTGTTTGTGTTACATTGGTTAAGCAGATATTGTGTGATTTTACGTGCTGAATTCACCTGTGTCTGTATATCACAATTCTAGCTGGTTTGTGCAGGATTCGGCTGATAATATGTATACATGTCTGTTCATTTAAGCATCTCACTGGCATTTTTATCTATGTCTGGTGATTGTCCGTATGTCGATTTGGGGATGTCTTATGTGAGTATGAAAGAATTTAAGTTACACCAGTTGTGATTGTAGGCAAACATGTGGAGCAAAGGTGGAAATAAACACCAAAATTGTCAATTATCAAATGACAAAAAAAATGGTTTCTGCCTTCAGGGTAGTTATGTGGGTTTTGAGATAAAAATTTTCATGACAGATGACGGGCTGAAGAGGCACATGAGAGTGCATGAGGAGAAAGTCCCTTTCAAGATTCTTCAAGTCTTTTGTACATCACGCATGTCAAAAGGTATGCAGGAGCGTAGTTAGTTAGTATTCCTGACTTAACAGTGTGACTTTTCTTTGGGGTTTGGTTAAAGTAGCAAGTTTAGTATACCAAACCAAGACTTTGGAAGAACTTGAAAAATATTAATACAAGAAGTTATGTCTTCCACACCACAATTGTTTCTGGTGAAATCAGTTGACGTGATTCCTGGGCGACCAGAGATGCGGGTAGCAAAATTATTTTAAAATGAGGAGTTACTTTTCAATCAGTGTGTGTGTGTGTGTGTGTGTGTGTGTGTCTGTGTATGTGTGCACCTGTGAATAATTTGCATATAAGAGTGCTTCTTGATAACTTCTTTATGCAATCCACACCTGACCTCTTGTGACCTTGTTCTTTCTCTGCCACCCTAAAGAATGGTTCTCTTACCTGTTCAGTCAACGACCAACCAGATGTCTGACAATGACACCTCAAGAGTTTGGATTTCGGGTTACTGGGATTGAACTTGCCAACAAGATGAGCCCAGAGCCGGCGACCAGCTCGTAGTTTTGCTATTTCCTGAAAGGAAAACAAAATTCAGTTATGTTTCTGAAAAACAAATGAAAATGGAGAAAGAAAAATTGTTATGCATCTAAGTTGACTGGAATACACATTTTGTTTGAGTTTGGGTTTGACCAATTCGAAAAAAAAATAAATAAAAAATAATAATTAAGATATGCATGTCCATCAACCTTAAACAATAATCTTTGTCAATTTTATTTTTCAGTCTTTATGATGGTCGATAATTGATCTATCTCTTACTGTTACATCCCTGGGCAACGCCGGGCTCTACTGCTAGTATATATATAATCGAACAAGTGCTTTCTTTTTTTGGAGTGTGTAGAAACTGTCCAAATGTTCTATAGTTCCAAGCGCTTTTGGCTATTCTTTTAGCCATTACCAAGATGATTTTATTTTTTCATTTTAATCAAAAATTTTTATGTATATGAATTTAGTGATGTTATAGAGATACTTTATTTTCAAACAAAAACACATTTGTGGCCTAGTTCAGTAGTTGATATTGTTAAGAGTTTTTTTTTTTTTTTTTATTATTAGGGCTATCAACGTTGGATATTATGCATATTCACTAATCTATCTATCTATCTAGATTATTGTTTGTCATACAACAGATAACAAGTTTTTGAAACCCAGGGTTTTCAAAACCCACTTCAATCCAACTAAATGTTAGGTCTACCATTGATAGTGAGTGCTTTCTAATAATGAAACCAAAACTTATAATATATAAAAATAGTATATATAAAATTATATATATATATTATGAAATGGACTAAGTGACGATTTTTTAGAGAGACTTTTTATGTTTAAATACAGACTTTTTTAATAAACAAATTAAACAATAATTCTGTTTATAAAAATTTTTAAAGAAATATTTTTCAGTTATTTAAATTTGTTTCAAACTTCAATATTTGTATCTATAAAAAAGAATGTATAAACAAAAAATGTCTTAAGAAATTTATATATATATATATATATATATATATATATGTTACATACATATATATATAAATATATATATGACATCACACACACTTATATACATATTATACACACGCACACATATACACATATATACATATTATACACAAATAATACTTATATATACATAATAAATATAATAATAATATATACACCCGGATATACACACACACACACACATAAATATATAGAAATATATATATATATATATATACCAATATATATAAGAGAAATCAATGGATATAAGAGATATTTTCTCTGGTCAATAAATTAGAGCCTGTGTCATAATGTATATAAATAGACCAGGGTGGATATAAGAGACTTTTAAAAATTGAGTACAACTCTCTTATATCCGGATTACACTGTATATATATATATATATATATATATATATATATATATATATATATACACACACACATTTTATATATACACACACACACATATATGAATAAACAAATGAAAAAATATAAATAAACCAAAATAAATCAAATTATTTTTAGCAAAAAAAACAAAAAACAAAAAAAAAAAAAAAAAATCAAGGAATAAATAATTAATGACCAGATCGGAAAATCAAGACGGAATACCAATCCGAAAGTAGTGATGACACATTCCATTAAGAGGGTTTGATTTTAATATTGTAAAAAAAAAAAAAAAAAAAAAAAATCATTAAATTGAATTCTATCAGTAGTCATAGCAGTCTAAGTATACAAAAGGCAACTATCCTCCTGTAAGTTGGGATAGTCTCATTTTTGGGTCAATGTGAATCAGTATTTTAGTGATGTCACTTCATAGAAATGTGACAAAAGTCTATTTCAGTCATTCAAAAAAGTACAAAGTCATTAGTTTTTTGATTTAACAGCCTCTTTTTCACAGAAAAATTTGAGTTTAAATCTATATATATCCAGCAGATTACAAGTGCATGGTGCCTTTTCCCTTTGGGAATACATCTATCCCAGATATAGAAACAATTTCCAAAAAAACAAGACCTCAATTGAAAAAACCCATGACTCACAGTTTTTAAATTTTGGAATATGCGCTCATCTGGGACATAGATGAATCTGGTCAGTTTGGATCTGGAGTCCTAAACATGGCTTCTCCAGAAACACAGACAAATCTCCATATTATATGTAAGATCCTGTCATTTTTTTTCTTTATTTTTTGGGTTTGCTTTTATTGTGTAGATAAAATACAATATTCTTTCTGCAAGGAATACATGCATATATGTATATATAGTTTTGTGTATGTCTTAGTAGTATAAAAAGTCTCTCTGAGAACAAAGCATATTTTCATTTCAGACATTTTGTTCAGTCTGTTGGTATATTATGGATATAATAATGCCCATAATGAGGGAAATATAATTCTAATTCTTTTATGTGCTGTGTCTCTTCAAGAAATAAGCAAATATGGTTTTCCATAACTTCCTGTACCATGTAGTAATTAGTAGTTTTTCTTCTTTCGATAATCAGAAAAGGACTTCCAACAGGTGAGATGTGTGAGAAAAGAAACTGTTAGAATAGAAGTGACCATTGCATCTAGCTGGTTCAACGGTAAAACAGTGAGACCTAGTTGCCATTTGAGTAGCACCCTTAAATTCATGGAGTCGAGGCACTAAGGAAGAAAGCTTGGCAGAACAGTTTCCATGAAAATATATGTAGAAAAGTCAGAGGGAAATCACAGCATGTCTGTGAGAAAGTGACTGAATTCGAGGTGCCAGGTCTGGAAATTGTTAGCCAGCCAGCCCAGTAAATTACATCGACAACAGAGATATTTATCCAGCCGGGTAAGCTCCTTAGTCGACAGAGTTTGAAGGACACCTACTTTTTAATCCCAAAATCCAAGTTGACCATACTTACAAGATAAAAATCATTTTTTCAATCCTTAGTAAGAATAAAAGAAAGACATGATTTTACAGACAGATGCTGAGTATACCATGGACTGGACATGAGGAAGTTTTATTGAAAATCGAAACAAAATTACTATACTTTGAAGAAGTTGCAATTTTCAAGGTATATAATGAGGAAAGAGGGTTTGGAAAATGTGACACTCACAGGAAATACTGTAGGTAAGGACAGAAGGAAACGGTGATTAACATACCTAAAGTGTTTGCGTAAATGGATGATAGAACATAAACAGGGAGAGATACTACAGGGTTGTATCAGGTCATCCCATAAGTTCTGTCCAAATTTTGAATAAAGAAAACAAGTGACCAAATGTTACATATAATTACAGATTCAATCAACAATGTATTTTCCCTGATTATCTATGACTTCCTTCCATCTTCCAGCTTACTAATTCCATTACTGTAAAATTCTTTTGGCTTTGATTTGAAGAACTCACAAATGTCAGTTTTAACCTCTTCCTGTGTTACAAAAGCTGTTTCTTCCAGATGATACTGTAAGCTACGAAACAAATGATAGTCTGAAGGAGCAAGATTGGGAGAATAAGGTGGATGAGGAATTTTCTCCCAATCAAGTTCTTTGATCTTTTGTGACATGATTCTTGCTGTGTGTGGTCGCGCATTGTCCTGACGAAACATCACCTCTTTTTGATTCACTAGAGCATGTCTTTTTTTCCTCAAAGCTTGGTTCAAACGCTCTAATTGCTGATAGTATATTTGAGCATTTTGCATTAGGTGGTAAGAATTTAAAGTGGATTATTCCTTGGCAATCCCACCAAATTGAAAGAAGAACCTTTTGCCCATGAAGTTCCCTTCTTGGCTGGGGTCCTTCTCCTTTACCAAGCCACTGTCTATGATGCTTAACATTTTGATAAAAGATCCATTTTTCGTCGCCAGTCACAATTCTATCCAAAAAAGGTGAAACAATTTGGCGAGAATGGAGTGAAGAGCAGATGACAACTCGGGATTTGAGATTGTTTTCAGACAATTCAGGAGGCACCCATTTTCTAAGTTTAGGAACTTTTCCAAGTTGTTGAAGATGACCATGAACAGTTGTATGTTTTGAACTGAGAACCACTGCCAATTCCTCAACTGATAAAGCAGGATTTTCTTCAAGGGCTAAAGAAGCTTTTCATCAAACTCAACTGGACGTCCGGTTCGATCTTCATCTTCAAGGGTGAAATCTCCACCTCTGAATTTTGCAAACCATCTTCTGCAAGTTCTTTCATTCACACATTCCTCTCCATAAACTGAGTGAATGTTTCTAGCCGCTTCAGCTGCTGAGTTTCCTTTCTTGAACTCATAAAGCATTATGTGCCTTAAATGATTCTTGGGTACTTTCATGCTAGCAGGGTTTTAATCAAACAAAATTTAATTTTATTGTTCTCTGAAATAAAATTTGATCAGTTTAAATGCATCTAAACATAAAAATAATGTTCAGCTCAATTAGACATTATAAAATACTCTTTAAATTTCGTTCATATTAAAAAAAGGTAAAATTCGGACAGAACTTATGGGATGACCTGATACATTACTTTGTACTATAAGAGGTAGGAAGTGATGGAGAGCCATGATCGCTCATATCCTGAATGTTTATAAGATGCAACAGAAGAAGCAAGTATAAATACTCACCATGTAGAAATTCATGCCAATACCCCAAAAGAAAGAAAGACGTGGGGCAAATTTGTCCACATTGAGTCCCCGGTTCACACCTGGAAAAGAAAATAATAACACGCATGAAACATCAAAATAAATGGCTATTAAAAGGAGTCTGCCACAAAGCCATGATTAAAGAGAATCCAATGAGAATATTGCTACACAAATTGGTTTGTGAGGCAAATTTATTGTGAAGAGTGAATAAGCATAGCTCACGGCTATATCACATTGAAACATGGGTTGTCATCTGATTACTGAAATTTTAGCCATGTCAAGCCTGGTTGATCAGTACCTAGATATGGAGAGGGACTGATTTTCTGTTTCAAATTTTTCTTAATTCCATTTCAGGTTTTAGAGAATTTGTTTTTTTTATGTTGTTTTTCGTATAGAATTCAGTTTTTGCTTGATTATAATTCCGAGTGAGAAATTGATTTGGTTTGTTTTATGGCATATCAACCTCAATGGGTTATTTAATGCCGACAATGTTTTTCTTCAAAAATCTATTTCTGGGAATATTTTTCCTTGAAGAAATCTATCACTGGCAATTTTTTTAAAAAAAAAAAAACAATGTATAGCTGTTTGTATTGCTGTTTTTTTTTTTTTTTTTTAAGTATTGCTGATAATAATTTTTCTTCAACAATGTATTGCTAGTAATGATTTTTTTTACAAAGTATTTCTGGTATTAAAACCCATTTCTACATCTTCAGTGTTTTGATCCTAGTTTGGTGGTTAACTATTCGCCCATAGCTGGGACCCTAACAGGTGCTACCACCCCAGGTCAGGGTGGACCTGTGAACACCAGCAATTAAGAGGTGGTTCCACTCTTCTCAAAACCTCCTGACCAGAGACCTTGCTGTTGGATGTAGTTTATCGTCTTTCCCAGGATGCGGATGTAGTTTATCGTCATACCCAGGACAGTGAAAATCTTGGTTCCAAATATTGTAGAGAGTCAGTAGGTAAGGCGGATTTATTAAAATGTTACCAACTTTATACGTTGATGCCTGTCTGACGAGTGAGTTTGGAAAGGCAAACATAGTAACAAATACAAATGGCAATTGGCAAATCTAATTGTTAGAAAAAAAAGAAAACTGTCATTTCAAAATCACGATTTCTATTTCAAGTAGGCCATTCCATTTTTCTGTCTGTTTTTCCATTTTCATGCGGATGAGGAATTTTCTCCCAACCAAGTTCTTCAATCTTTTGTGACATGATTCTTGTCTCTTTTTGATTCACTAGAGCAGGTCTTTTTTTCCTCAAAGCTTGGTTCAAATTCTCTAATTGCTGACAGTATATTTGAGCATTTTGCATTAGGTGGTAAGAATTCAAAGTGGATTATTCCTTGGCGATCCCACCAAATTGAAAGAAGATAGGTAACTGCTTGGGAATACCAGGTGTTGTAAGTTTGCACGCGTGGGTGATCGGATGGATAACGGCTTGCAATGATAAATCAGGGAGATGATTTCAAATTCAAGTCTATGACAAAAAGTAACTGCAGCTTGCTGTGGGAATTCTTCTATCAAGAGAGTCATGAGTCGAAAAGAGACCTGATCACCTAAGCATGTCCCCTGACGAAAGAAGGGAGTCTGGCACAAGACCAATTATGGAGGATGAACTAAAAGAGTGGTTTTCAAACTTTTTACTGCAGTTTATTATTTTTTTTACAACAATTCACTCAATACAAGGCTCAAGAACTACTCAAGTCAGAATGATAATGATGATTGAGGTTTGTGATCTTATTATAAAATGCAGATTGTGTGTGTGTGTGTGTGTGTGTGTGTGTGTGTCTTTAACGTTTATATATTGGATCGGATTTCCTACATTTTTCAACCAATTTCAACAAAACTTCACAGGACTACATAAAATTACCTTGTGGTGGTTCTAACAGCGCTAAAAAAATGGAAAAAATATAATTTTTTTTTTCACAAAATCAATTTGAAAACACGATTAAGAGACATAAATTGAGAATGGAAGGGGGACAACTCACATTGGGTTGTTTGTGTGTGTGGGTTATATCGCCGGGCAACGCCGGGCTCTACTGCTAGTATGAACTGAAGAGGAGGTGATAGGATTTGTTTGGTTTAGTTTGTATGATGGCATATCAACTCCTTATGAGCCACAATGCTGAAATTTAATTTTCTTAGAAGCTTTGGTAATTTTTTTTTTTTTTAAATATGTTGCTGGTAATTTTTCTTTCTTTTTCGATAAATGTATTGTTGGTATTCTTATTACAAAATTATATTTTTATATTTTCATAATGTTTTTGACTTCAGTTTGGGGGTTCACTGTAGCTGGGACCCTAACAGGTGCTACCACCCCAGGTCAGGGAGGACCTGGGAACAGCAGCAATTAAGAGGTGGTTCCAGGCTCCTCAAAACATCCCAATCAGAGGCCTTGCTGCTAGATGTAGTTTGTCATTATTAGATGTGAGGGTGGGGATAGCATGTGAATATTATGAGGATAAGGACAAAAGACAACAAATGACCTTTGACTTGAAGAGGTTAAGAGTGTAGTATTCAAGGAAACACACATATGAGAGTCTGTTTGAGAAAGTAAATATTTGTGGAAAAAAAGCTGCCTTATTGGCACAGAAAAAGGAAATATTTGTGCAACCTTGTAATTGTACCTTTATTTTGTAATATTGTAAAATAAATGTGTTTTTCCAAAAAAAAATTTTATGCAGTGTTCGACTTGTTTTGTAATTTTATTACAGTGATTTGCTGTTATTAAGCTTTGTATCTAACAGGTGGTACGACCCCGGGTCAGGGTGGACCTGGGAAGAACAGCAATTAAAAGGTGGTTCCACGCTCCTCAAATCCTCCAATCTCCAGATGAGAAGACTTGCTGCTGGATGTAGTTTATCATCATACTCAGGACATGCACACAAACACAAACACACACACATATATGGTTACTGCACATAAAATTTTTCCTTAGCTGATTGATGTTATATTCAATTCTCGAATTCCAGAGTTTGATAGACAAACCTACACACACACAAATATATATATATATATATATATATATATATATATATATATATACATACACACACTTGTTTATATCACTGACCTGTTCGGATATATTCCAGACCATCTGCAATGGTAAAAGCCAGTTCCAAGACAGCATCAGCACCAGCCTCTTGCATATGATAGCCAGAAATGGAAATGGAGTTGAATTTGGGCATAAACTGGGAAAATAAAATAAAAATAAAAAATTGTAAGTTTTCTAACAAAGTCAAAATTTCAAAAAATTGATCATTATTATCAGAAATATGAATACATTATACGATTATCACCGAAAATTCAACAGTATTGCCCTAACAAAAATCTTGCTATGACATGCCACTTTTGCTGTGTTACAATAAATATCCATAAGCCAAAACATCCCACCACATGCGGCCTTAGCTTGTCTATGGAATCTGGGTGTGGAAAATTCTTACAGCATTCTTCCAACTTTATGCCATTTTGATCTTATAATCAGAACTTAGACAAAGGAAATCCATCACTGTCAGAATTGGACGCCCACAAGGTATTATAAATTGCTTACACTATTTACATTGTTCGGACTATCATCCTCATCTTTCTTGCTATATTTATCATAACGTTTTGGCCGTTGTATGCTCCAGCCTTCTTCAGGTGGTTGGAAAGTCAAACTGAACCCTTTATTTCACTCTCTGGGGTAGACTGTTCTAGTTCCACGTGCCATGTCTTATGGATGTCAGTTATCAGTTATCTCCTGTTAATTCCCCTCTCCAAGTTCTGCACTACCATAACCAGATATTGAACTTACACTTTTTGGGTCTTGTCACTGGATCTAACTAACGCCTTTATCCACTGTTGCCATGTGTCCTTGAGGGAATTAACAGGAGATAACTGATATTCATTAGACATGGCATGTGGAACTAGAACAGTCTACACCAGTGAGTGAAATAAAGGGTTCATTTCCAACCACGTGAAGGAGGTCAGAGCGTACAATGGCCGAAACATTGTGATAAATATGGCAACAAAGATGAGAATGATAGTCCGAATAATGTAAATAGTGTACATAATACCTCATCTCAGAAATATAGACAGATACTGAAGGGGCAAAATGTTCTAATAAATATGGCGACAAAGATTAGGACAATAGTCTGAATAATGTAAATAGTGTACATCATCCCTCATCTCAGAAATATAGACAGATACTGATAAATTGCTTGCCATTCTGACACCATCTGAATGTTATGATCACTACTTTGGTTAACATATTTTGGGTGGTGGGAACAATTTGTTAATTAGCATTCATTAGACCTTCCTCCACGCAAGACACCTGTCACAATTGGAAAACACTGATTCATCATTTTAGAAGGCAGAGGTCCTGTTCATAATATAAATAAAAAAAAAAAAAACAACCCCTAACTTTTTAAAGAGTTATCACTACTTTATTTTTATTTACAAATGTCAAGCATGTGTAGGTGATTTAATGACAACTTAGAAAGCTGAGTTCAAATTCCATTTGGGTTTGTTACATTCATTTACACACAAATACCCTAGGGGAAGGTATGAATCTATTTCCCTTTTGTGATGTCAACAAACACTCGTCGGCACTTTTGTAATGCCAACAAATACTCATTGTCACTTTCGTAATGCTCGCTGTAACAGAGACTTTGTAATCATAGATACAACAATAGTAATGCTTTTGAACAATACTTGTTTCAGATGCCTACTAATAGTACTTGCTCAATACTCGCTCGAATAGTAACCAGCGAATAGTGATCCGAATAGAGAAATAGTATAGTGAATAGAGTAGAGAAAATCTACCATCAGTCCCTCCATTGAATATTGCTGTCATTTCTGGTCTGGTGTTCCTGATTTTTGTTATGGCAACGAATTCTTGTTGTCACTTTCATAAAGATTGTTGTAGCAGAGACTTTGTAATCGCAGATACAACTTTATTAATGCCGTTGACCAAAACTGGTTTTCGCCTTTGAATAACACTCGCACTAATAGTACTTGCTTGATAATACTTGATGAAATAGTAACCACCGAATAGTGAATAGAGAAGAGAAATAGCAATAGAGGATAGAGAAGAGAAATAGCAATAGAGGATAGAGAAGAGAAATAGCAATAGAGGATAGAGAAGAGAAATAGCAATAGAGGATAGAGAAGAGAAATAGCAATAGAGGATAGAGAAGAGAAATGGCGATCCCAAATAGTAATAGAGGATAGACTAGAAATGGCGATCCCAAATAGTAATAGAGGATAGACTAGAAATGGCGATTCCAAATAGTAATAGAGGATAGACTAGAAATGGCGATCCCAAATAGTAAATTGTTACCATAAATTTGGTACCTCTTCTCAGCCTGTGATGAAATTGTCATGATCAGTCAGGTTTTCATGCTGAAATTTGTTATTCTGTAGGTAAACTGGGTATGGTGGGGAGGGCTATGAAGTACAAGGAAAAACTTTTCTACCTTCAAAATTTGGTGGGGGGGGCTTCTAATGCATTGGAGTGTCTTATAAGCACTAAAATACGATACATTTAGTAGTAACAGTCTTCAACTATTTGAATGTCTTTGCTCAAGTATTTTCATTATTAACAGCTTTTAATTAGTCTTTCTTCCATGTTATTTTTATTGTTTCCACCTCATAGTAGTCGATATAATAGTCTTGAGTTTTCCAAATTTCTTAAATGAAATATCATTTGTTATGAATCGTAAAATCATTACTTCGATCATTATACTTAATACCATTCAAACAATGAAATAAAAGAAAAAAATTCTCCAACGTCTTACCTTTGAGGTGTATTCAAAAATATCTCCAATAATCTGCATGGAAGGTTCTGGAGGAAAAATGTAGGTGTTCCTCACCATGAATTCTTTAAGAATGTCATTCTGGATTGTGCCAGCCAAGTTTATCTGTTTTGCACCCTGGAGAAAGAAGAAACTCAAGGTTTGATAAGGTTAGTCACCAAAAATAGCAATAAAATTATTATAGCGATAGAGACAAAGTAGTTAAGAGAAAGCCAAAGAGAGAGAGAGAGAGAGAGATAAAATCAGAGAGAGAGAGAGAAAGAGAGAAAAAGTCAGAGATAAAATCAGAGAGAGAGAGAGAGAGATAAAGTCAGAGAGAGAGAGAGAGAAAAAGTCAGAGATAAAGTCAGAGAGAGAGAGAGAAAAAGAGAGAAAGAGAGAGAGATAAAAGAGAGAGAGAGAGAGAGATAAAGTCAGAGAGAGAGAGAGATAAAGTCAGAGAGAGAGAGAGAGAGAGATAAAGTCAGAGAGAGAGAGAGAGAGAGATAAAGTCAGAGAGAGAGAAAGAGAGATAAAGTCAGAGAGAGAGAAAGAGAGATAAAGTCAGAGAGACAGAGAGGAAGGAAATTAGAAAGACGGAGAGAAATTATAGACGGAGAGAAATAGTTTTAGACGGAGAAAAAGTAGCTGAGAGGGAGAAAAAAATTAGAGGGAGAAAGAAAGAGAAAGAATAAAGCTGAGAGGGAGAAAGAAAGAGAAGAGAAAGAGGGGAGAAACAAAGAGAAACAAGGGAGAAAGAAAGAGAAATATAGAGGGAGAAAGAAAGAGATATATATATGAGAGGGAGAAAGAAAGATTTTATAGAGAGGGAGAAAGAAAGAGAAAGTAGCCGAGAGGGAGAAAGAAAGAGAAAGTAGCCGAGAGGGAGAAAGAAAGAGAAAGTAAATTAGAGGGGAGAAAGAAAGAGAAATAATATCACAAGAGGAGAAAGAAAGAGAAAGTTTAGGTGAGAGGAGAAAGAAAAAATTAGCCAAAAAGAGAGAGATTAAAAATCTAATAATTAAACTGAAAGTTTTTAAAGAGAGAAAGAGAGAGAGAAAGTAGCCAAAATGGAGAGAGAAAAAGAGAAGCCAAAATAAATTATATATATATATATTATAAAATTAGCTGATTCTTCCACCTTAGTTTCAACATTTCGGTATCTTCAGGTGATTTCGATCAACTGATTTCACAATGTTTTTTAAAAAAAAAAAAAAAAAAAAAAAAAAAAAATGAATGAATAAATAAATAAGCACACAATGTGGGGGTGTGGTAGAAAGTGAGAAGAAGAGGAGGGGGAAAATCAAATGTATTGGAAATGTATCGGTGTGGGATACAATTAAATATGCATTTATTCTTTTCATCCCACTTCAAACGAACTCAAAAAAAACTTTTTAGTATGAATACAATGGGTCGTCATTTCAGATCTCTGGTCTGGAAATTTTATAAAATCCAATTTTTCTTGTTGACAAAGGTTGCAGATGTTGCTATGATTGCTCTAAGATCACACACACACACATATATATATATATATATATATATATATATATATATATGAGAGAGAGAAGACGGACAAAACAATGTGAAAGGGTAAAAAAAACAAAAAACAATGTGAAAGGGGAAAAAAAACAAAAAACAAAGAGAAATAATCAAGATATCAGAACAAAGGCAAAGAAAAAAAACAGGAAAATCTTTGATAACAATACTTGTTCTTCTGCTGCTACAATATACATGGCCATCACAGGAAGAACAGCACCATTCATGGTCATTGATGTACTGATCTTGTCCAATGGGATGTCTTGGAATAACAGTTTAGTATCTTCTACAGAATCTATTGCCACACCAGCCATTCCCACATCACCAGTCACTCGGGGATTATCTGAATCATAGCTGCAATTATAAAATTATAAGCAAATATTTAAATATATATATATATATATATATATATATATGTGTGTGTATGTGTATTTAGGCAGCAATCCTTGTTTCATGCACATTTCATTGAATACAACAGACAAGGCGATCTAATAATTTGTTCTTTTTGGGTTATAAGTTATATAAAGACTGTCAGAATGTTCTTTTTATCTGAGCGCTTTTGGCTATACATTTAGTCATTTTCAAGGATTATATTTTAACTGTTAAAATAAGAAATAGTTTGTTCTATGTATGTTTTATAAAATGTTTTAATTATATATATATATATATATATATATATATATATATATATATATACATACACACACACAGTGTTGTTCGATAAAAGTGACTCACCTGATTTTTTTACTAAATGTCCTCTTTTCCGATGAAACAAAAGTTGAGCTAAATTCAAAGGATAAGCGATTTAAAATCCGAAGAAGCTTTGAAAGCTCTTTAAATTTAGCAGTAAGTACTGTCAAGCATCCATTCAGTATAATGTTCTGGGGATGCTTTTCTTTTCATGGAACTGGTTTCTTAAAACCTATTGAAAAGACCCTCAGAAGCAAGCAGTACAAGAGAATTTTAGAGTCTTGTCTGCTCCCTTCTGCTGAAAAGGTGCCAATTGACCCCACCAAGCTCATTTTTATGCAGGATAATGCTCCCTGTCACAAATCAAAATTGATGAAGCAATACTTTGATGAGAAGCAGGTGAGTGTTATGACATGGCCGCCCCAATCTCCTGACCTCAACCCCATAGAAAACTTATGGAGCATGTATAGTAACAGGCTTTCTCGAGAGCCTGTTTATAAACAAAGAAATTTGAATGTGAATTTCAGGCATCTGCAACAGGAATTATCTAACCACACTAGCAGATGAGCATATTCTGAAACCTAATCAAGTCAAGCCAAAAAGGGTTGAAAATTATTATTTCTGCATTACCCATAGATTATTAAATATTTTGAACTATATTACCTATTATAAATAAATTAGATTTTATTCTTTATTTTTTTTTTTCAGGATATAAATCAAGATATGGAATATCAAGATATTAGAAAATGGACATGCCTACATTTGAAGATCAGAAAGTTTCTAAGTATTATCAGGTGACTTACCCACGATGTGTAGGGAGGTCAAAGGCCACACTGAGACCTTGTTGTCCAGCTGCAATATTAGCCTTGTAAAATTTGTTGCTTTCTTCCACAGTACTAAAACCGCAAAATTTTTAGAAAAAAAAAAAAAAGCTTTATAAGAAATTATTGACCTTTTTTTTTTTATATGTTAATATCCCCAATAGATAGGATGCCATAGCATCATAATTACAGAGGATTGAGAGCAAATCTAGTAAAGATTTATTTTTGGAAAAGGATAAAAAAAGAAGGAAGGGATCAAGGTCAGGACATCAGAACATGTCGATAGACATTATATTTGAATATTATAGCAATCATTTTTTTTTAAGAGGAAAGGAGTTCCACCGATGGGAAGTGCAGGATAAGAAGCTGTTGGAGGAGAAGAGACAGCGACATTTAACAGTTTCGACGGTGAAAGGGTGGGACAAAGATGCTAACTTAGTAGCATGCTTAAATTCATGCAGTTTGGGAACCAGTGAAAGTAACTAAATAAAAATACTTGTAAAAAGGACAGAGAGAAGCCACAGCATGTCTGTGAGAAAGAGGAATGTAGATGAGATGCCAGATCAGGACCTATCACATTGCATATCCATCTCTGGATTTTGTTGAGGATCTTGAGATGAACAGCAGGGGCATCAGACCATAGATGGCAACGGTATTCCATGCAAGGACAAATGGTTGATTTGAAGGATGGACAAGTTTGGGAAAAACCTTAAATGTGACACAAAAAAAATTTTTTTTTTTTTTTTTTTTGTGTGTGTGTGTGTGTGTGTGTGTGTGTGTTTTTAAAATCAGTATGACCCCAAGCAAGGCAATAAAACCACTAAAATAAAAAGAGTTACAGGGTGTGGAAGAATTAACAGAAACATTACTAATGTGCAGAAACAAAAAGAGTAATCAGGAGGACAGTAGACAGCGATTGACATTACATTTAAATTTCTGAAGATTAAAGTTGGTTTGGTTTGTTTTACAGCAATGCAACATCAATTAATTAATTTAATGCCGACAAAATTTTTATTGCTGGCAATATGTTTTCCTCCAAAAATCCATTTCTGGGAATATTTTTCCTTGAAGAAATATTTTTTTTTCAAAGAATGTATAGCTGTTTGTATTGCTAGTACTTTTATTTTTAAAGTATTGCTGATAATAATTTTGGAAAAAAAATTATTAAAACTTAATATTTTTTTTTTTTTTTATTAATTTGCAAAGTATTTTGATATTAAATATAACACAAGTTTGGGTGTCAACTATTTGCCCATAGCTGGGCCCCTAACAGATGCTACCTTATTCAGGTCAGGGGTTTGTTTTGGGAACATTGAAATTAAGAGGTGGTTAATTATTCCTCAAAACCTCCTGATCAGAGGCCTTTTTATTGGAAAAGTTTTAGTTGATTCTTACCCAGGATACGGATGTAGTTTATCATCATACCCAGGATGCAAATGTAATTTCAGTGTTAATTATTTACCCATAGTTGGGACCAGGCTGATTTGCTACCACTTTTTGGGTTTGGGGGTGAACCTGGGAACACCAACAATAAAAGAATTTGGTTCCAGAATCTCAAAAAAACCTCCTGATCAGAGGCCTAAATGTTGGATGTAGTTTTATTGTCATACCCAGGACGGGATTAAAGTTGGCTTGAAAGCATGGAGGCAGAAGAGAGTTCCACAAGCAAGAAGTGCAAGAGAAGAAACTGTTAGCATAGAATTTACATCTAGCCAGCTCAACTGTAAATTGGTAAGATCTTGACACCAGTCTTGTACTGTGCTTAAATTTTAAAACGTCTAAATATCATAGTGAAGATTTCATTCAAACAATTACCATGAAAGTATATATATAGAAAAGGCACAGGGAGTCAACCTTACGGCGATGGGAAAGTGTGATTGGAGCCGAGACACCAGGTCAAGATCAGTAATATTGTTGCTTCTTCTTTGGATTTTCTCAAGGAGCTATAAATAAATGGTAGGAGCACTGGACCATACATGACAGAAATATTCTAAGCATGTATGAATGGTAGGCGTATAGAATATGGAAGATTCTTACCAGATGACCTAACAGTGAATTCAGAATAGTTTGAAAATACTGGCTTTTACCTGGGATTGAACCCTAACCTCTGCCACCAGTGTAAAAGTTTATAACTATTTAAATTCATAAGGGAAACTTTACTAAAAGTAACTAAACTTACTAAAAATCAGCTTAATCTTGCAAAAGCACCATAGTTATGAAAGGGTTAGCACCCGGTGAGGCTTGAAACCCATACAGCAATAATCTAATGCAATTAGCTTGTTAACCATCACAACACCATGCTCGAAAACTGCTCCTTACTTACTAGCATTGATCTAGAAAAATTTGAAAATCAACCTGATTTTCAAAAAGGATTTCGAATTTATTTCTTACCTGTCGAATTGTCCATGGTCTGAAGGTATACATTGTTGTAACGGTAATCCGGGTGTATGGAAATTCATTCCAGGAATTTCATACAAAATCAAAAACCTTTCACATATGCCTATTTATAAACAGGCTTTATTTCGATACCCTGGTATTGGGGAGCAAAAAATAGGTAACATGTTAATAACAGATAAGGCAAAAAGCTCGCATTGATGAAGATGAAGAACCAAAAACGTTGCACTTAAAATGAAGACAGCACATGATTTATAAAACAAACAGTAAGATATATATATATATATATATATATATGAGAGAGATAGAGAGATGACATATTTTTAGGGATAAAATATATATAAGAGAGAGAGAGAAATGATATATGAGAGAGAGAGAGAGAAATGATATATATATATATGAAGAGAATGATATATGAGATAAAGAGAGAAATGTATATATAAGAAAAAGAGAGAGAGAAATGAGATATGAGAGAGAGAGATAGAAATGATATATATATAGAGAGAGAGAGAGAGAGAAATGAAATATATATATAAAAGATATATATATATATATATATATATATATATATATAAGATTTAATTATTTTAAACACAACATTTTTTTGTTACCAACCTGTAGAAACCATTGGATTTAAAATGCATTATTGGATATTAAAGAAAAATATAATAATAAGGAATATTTTTCCAAATGTCAATAACTTACAACTCTGTGGGATTTTTTAATTTTTATTATATATATATATATATATATATATAATATATATATTAAAAAAATGTACAATATCATACAATTTATTTATTAAAGACATTTTTATGTTTAACGTTGTTATTTTATAGATACAAGTATTTAAGCAAATGCTCTGTTTATGATAAACAGTATTAAATAACATTTACCGGCCTGAATGTCCGAGAAATTTTCATAGAAAAATATTCGAATCCTGTCAAAGAACGAATATTTTCCACGCCCACATTTTATTCATCTACAATTGGCTAATAATCAATTAAATCATTTAAGAACAATCCAATCATCTGTAATTTTTATTACATAACAAATACAGAAAATAACAAATGAACAAAAGGCTGAAACTGAATTAAAGCCAAGACAAATCTATCATTCAAAATGTGTGTAAAAGAAAAATAAATCACTTAAAACTTTACTTAATAGTTACACAAAAGAAAATGGAGGAGTTAACAACACTAAAATATTATCACAAAACAGTTTGATAAGCTTGGGTATGAATAATTATTATTTTATTCCTAACAGTCAGATCAGAAATGTCTGATATCTTTCCGTTCATGAAAAGCAATAAAATATCTGGAAAATTTAAATAAACACTTAGTTCACAACGAACAAACCCATAATGAGCTCGGAAAAAGTAATTCTAAAAATAAAAAAGGGAAAACAAAAATAATGACAACTTTTGAATAGATCAGCAACTTTAAACATTTTGTATTTGAAAATTTAAGAATGAGTAAACAAATGGTCTTTTCTTTTCAAGATGAGGAGGAAATGATTGAAGTGGTTTCAATGCAGTGAAGAACACATGACAAACATTGCAGTAAATCTTTCCATTTTAATAAGTCACCAATTCTGAATTAATTTTCCTCACAATTTCAAATTGAAATTTTTTTCCAACAGGTAGACACTTAAATAGACTGACCAGACATTAACAGTCCAAGAACACTAACAACATTATCCTATTTTTGTTTCAATTATTGATAATGCTTATTAATAAATATTATCCAATAATATTAGGTAACTTTCCCTATTTCTCTATCAATTATTGGTAACACCTATTAATAAATATTAGCTCTGTCCAATATTTGATACATCACACACACAAAAGATATAAATATATATATATATATATATATATATATATATTATATATATATATGTAATGAAGAAATATTATCTTAAGATGTGCTTATATTTATGGGATAAAATTGCTTTAAATATCAGAGATAGAGCGTGTGTAAAATATAAAAGTGAACATAGAAGTCAATATATAGAGGCAACAGTCTGTTTCATTTAGATGCAAAACACGGGCCTGATGATTTTTCTAGCATGAAACAAATGTTAATCTTTGTTTTTTTTATGTTCACTTATATATTTTATATATTTTATTAAAGGATACTACAAAAAACTATATTAAAAAAAAAAAAAATTTACACAATTGCAATCAAATATGTATCAAGTTGGATCATTAGTAAATAACTGGTGACTAGACAATTTATTGATTTAAAACACGATACACCCTCCTTTCATCTTTCCTAGGAAATGACATTGTTCTGGTGTATAATATTGTAGGCATTTGCATCATTTTATGCGTAACAACCTTATATATATATATATATATATATATATAAAAAAGATTGTTACACATAAAATGATACATTTTTGGGTTGGTTGTTTATCCAGTCATTTAACGAAGTAACCTCCTTAATATATATATATATATATAAAAAAAAAAAAATCTTGACTTATTGCTGATACCTTTCCTTTTCAGATAATTTTTCTTTAATATATTGTTACGCCCAATGAAAATGATTACAATGACACAATGTCGAGTAATCTTACTGTATGAGTAAAGATTGTGAAAAAGAACCATTTTTGCATTGAGTAATTACTTGCAATGAGAAACAGATACTCTTTGACAACAGTAAGGGAGAAGGCTAGTGGTTAGATCTAAGTGAATCACCAAAACAATAGCCACTGCACCCTAAAAAGTTAATGGTTTATATATGGTGGTTTTTCAAAGGGGTTATTTAAAATTCATTCTTGCCTCAAGGGAAAACAACAGCAACCTTATATTGTAGAGAAATTGAGAGTATGCACAAAAAAATGAAAAAGAAACATCCTAGACATGTGCATAGGGATGGCCCAACTTTGCTGCATGAAAATGCATTGCCTGAAATTTTACCTCATCCTCCATATTCACCTGATATCTCTCCAACTGATTATCACATATTTAAGCATTTTGAGATTTTCATAGGAAATAAAAACATTCTCCTATAAGGAAGAGGCATATCAACCGCAACTGGTTATTTAATGGCAACAAAATTTTGATTGCTGTTAATCTCTAGCAATACCCTTCCTTTTAAAATCAACTGCAAGTAATATTTTTCCAAAAATATATTGCTGGTAACGTTTTTCCATAAAACACATTGCTGGTAACGTTTTTTCAGAAAACATATTGCTGGTAATATTTCTTTATGAAACTGTATTGCTAATAATTTGATTTTTCCTTCAAAATTGAAAGAGAAACTATATTATTATTTCCTGTAACAATTTTTCCCATATAAGGGGAACAGTGAAAATGGATGGAGGGATTCCATTTATTGTTGTATTATAAAATTTTAAATAAAAAAAAAAAATTATTAAATAAGAAATTTGACTAATAAATCATAAAGATATTTGAATCTTTTAAATAAAAACATTCTGAATGTCTTTTGACATATGGAGAAGAAAGTCAGGACAATGCCTTAGAATACAAACTTGGTGGTAAGATATACATTAAAGCAGTGCCCAATTTGTTTTTTTTAACTGAAATTATATACGAGTAATAATAAAAAAAAGAAAGAAAAAACAATCCCAATCTGTTAAAGAAAAATGTGATGGAACTGTATAGTAATATAATAGTTTACTGTATATAAAATGTATTATAATAATGTACAACACTTTACATAAAACAAAAAATATACGAATAACCCTAACCGAAGAGGGAAAAGAGTCTCTCTGATATCCTGTGATGTAGAATTCACATTTAAAAAGGAACCAAAAGTCACACATTGACTGCTCAACAGTAACTGACAGTCCATAGTTGAATAAAATATAATAGGTGTTACTTAAGCAGGAGTCCTACTGAGTAATCTACTTTACCACCACATTTGTATCCAACATCATACTTATAAAACCTAGGTTGTGTGTGTGTCTGTACATTTATATATTGGATCAGATTTCTTACATTTTTCAACCGATTTCAACAAAACTTCCCAGGACTACATAAAATTACCTTTGCGGTGGTTCTGACAATTTAAAAATTGGAAAAACACAATTGTTTTTGCACAAAATCAATTTAAAAAACACGATTAAGAGGCATCACAAGAATGAAAGGGGACAACTCATATCGAGTTATATTTATTATAAAACCCAGGATGGTTTGTGTGTGTGTGTTTATATATGGGATCAGATTTCCTACATTTTTCAACTGATTTCAACAAAACTTCATTTTTTTTTTTTTTTTGGCAGGTAGTGTTTCTTATTGTCTTGCACACTTTTTTTCATTTTTATTTTTACATTCAGAATGCTTTAAAAAATTCCATTTACAAGACAATTGTTTATAATAAAATTCTATTCAATTGGTAGACTCATAACGATTGAAAACAATGTTTTGTTTGAGTTTGGGTTTGACCAATTCAAAAAAAAAAAACAAAAAAAAAAACTAATTAAGACATGCGTGTCCGTCAACCTTAAACAATAATCTTTGTCAATTTTATTTTTCAGTCTTTATGATGGTCGATACTTGATCTATCTCTTACTGTTACATCCCCGGGCAACGCCGGGCTCTACTCCTAGTTATCTAATATAAGAGGGGATGCCATTTATTGTTAGAGAAATTACATCTTATCTCCAGTAACAATTTTTCCCACATAAGGGGGAACAGTGAAAACGGAAGGAGGCATGCCATTTGTTGTATTATAAAAAAAAAAAAAAATTAATAAATTAGAAATTTGACTAAAAAATCATAAAACAAGATATTTGAATCCTTTAAATAAAAATAGTCTAAATGTCTTAACATATCGAGAAATAAATTGGGACAATGCCTTAATGCCTTACGATACAAATGTGATCGCAGGATACACACTAAAACAGAAACTGATTGGTAGGACACATACTAAAGTGGCACCAAATGATTTTCTAAGCGATGCTTAGATGTGGCACAAGGCCGAAAGTATGGTGCACTCAGTGAGGACCAGGCTCACTAATCAGTCTTAATTATTCTCGTGAGACAAGCTTTGTAAACATTACACCGTCCTGGATATGACAATAAACTACACCC